GGGGAAGGGCTTATTTTTTCCAATATAAAACGCTACAGCGCCTCAGGAGGGGTAGCCGACTATGGGAGCCCATAAGGGTGCTGGGGAATGTAGTTGTTTTCTACCTAAATCTCAGTAGGGAAAGAGCAAGGGGGGGGGGATGGTAGAGGTCAATTGAATGCTCAATTCTTTAGCTCGAGGTAATCATTTCATTTCCGGTATTTCTCTTCTGAAGCTTGGGTAGAAACTATATTCATTCGGTTGAAAACAGAATCTGAGCCTTGAGCACATGTGAAGTCGACTACCCTTTTTCTCTGTTCTTCAGCGCTCAGTGTGGGTAAGATCCCTACCCCCAACTCGCTCGCGAAATCACCCCATGAAACGGCCTTTTCAGCGATTGATTTAAAGACTGTGTTCTAATTGAGTTCATGGTGACTATTTTGTATGTTGACTTAGTTTTCATTTAATTACTGGACTACTGTTAGTTAATTAGATAGCGTTCCTCATCCTATCAAGATGACTAAGAAAAACTGCTGCTCCTTGTCCTCTGTTTACCGCTTCACTGATTTCTCGATTCTCACGGAAGTGTGGGAATTTTGCAATATCAAACACCTTGCCTTATATTGATTACGGTTATTTTTTATACCGACACTTGACTGCACTCTTAATCAGTGAGACCCAAAAGGTGAGGGAGGAATTCGATGGCAGAGTCACTGAGACAAACAGAGTGCGGCATAACTCGAAGGATGAAGGGACCCAAAATGTTAGGCGAGAAAATGTGGTCGATAGGTTCGGTTCTGCATTGACCCTAACATTCATACCACACGAATGGGAATCCATTCCGGGCACTCAGTTCTTACAGTCACCCGGCTGTGGGTACGGACTGGGTGGTCGTGATGCAGTATGTTCCACTCACTTGTCCGGTGGAAGGTCCCTTTTCTATGCGTCATGTTGGCGGGTTGAGGGCTTCCCTAGGCAAGTAGTGTTGTACCATGAAAGGAAACATGTTTTCTGAGAAATTCTGCGTCTGTGGCGTTTCATTTTACTGTAAGGTCGCTGTAAGAAGCGATTAGACGTACTGAAATTTTGTTTCCGAGTTCACACTGCGCTTCTACTCCTCCCCGGATACTAGTTAGTTCTAACCGGGGAAAGTAGTTCTAAAATTAAGTTCGGGTGCGAATGCTTCACCACACCATCGATGAAAACGTGCAATGCAAGCTTATACGATGACCTTATTTATTGAATCACATGCAAACGAATCAAGGTTCTGTTGTAAAATGAAAAGCATTGTCTGTGATTCTCTGCGTCTCCCACGTTATACTCCCCGGCAAGTATCGCTTAAGACCATCGAAGAGGATCGCATTTGAATCGTGGGAGTTACATTTGACTGGTTTCATACCGCCCTCGGTTTAATATTCATGGAGCGGCTGCAATTACAATATTTTACACTTCCACTGTGGACACTGTAATACGGCGCTTTTCAAGTTTTTTTTTTTTNGCAGTCAGCCACAATGCTCCCACCCCTTCAAGCAATGTCGTTCCAACCAGCTGATCCGTAATCGAATGGCGTAGGTCTGAGTTTTAATCCTATGACACTCTGACAAAACTTGCACCCGTGGTACAAGGCTATTAAGCACTGCCACATTTTGTTTGTCTGTTTTTTGATTTTAGGGTTATGGCTTCATATACTGACCCATGATGATTCACCAAATGGTAATTTGCTTCCACAAACTCAGCTCTTAAAGAGGGAACAAATGTTTCTTACTGAACCCTTGCAGTATTTTCATCGACGGAGGGGTGACCTAGTACTTATAGGTTGCCATTTAGTTTTGTTACTTGGCACAGTTTACATAGGGAGTGTCATCTTTCATGATACAGTTGCGGTGTGGAGTTCCTTTGTGTTGTGAGACTGTTTTTGATATCCCTGCTTGAAAGCTTTGGTTGAACAATCACCAGATACCATGAGAATTTCCTTCCCTTTGCTCTCTATGTATGTAACAATCCTTTTTAACTTCTGTAGTCAAAACTTTTCCGTGGAACATTTAATGGTAAAATGGTTATTTCCATTTCCACCTCTCATCTTGTACTTCTTTCGATGCAGCAATGCTTAATTAAATAGAGTCTGCTATCGCATGGAGTTATCCAATCTGATCTTTTTTTTTTCTCAGTGCGCTTGGTGTTCAGTATTTGTTGAATTATGATTTCAGGTACGGCCGTTATGGAACGACACCCTCCGTGGCATCCTCGTAGCCTTAGTGAAAGATCGAAAACCTTTATGGGATTCTCGTTTCCGAACCACAAAAGAAAGGTCCATCCAGCTTTTCCGGGAAATTGCTGCGATCCTATCGAATCAAGATAATCGTATGAATGGTGAGTGCTTTTGGAATCGGATAAGAGGATAGTTTTTTCCAATTGAAATAGTTTTCCGTTGCCAGTCAAATAACTTATGTGTTGTCATTGGAAGTGGGAGGTGCAGAGTTAAGTTGATTGTTTTGAATCAACAATACATTATAGCAAATTAATTAGAATTTCACCATAATTCGTAGAAATACCTAGTTGTCCGCCCACGAATACTTCTTTACGAGTTCGTACCCGGCTACTCTACTGCTAACCCCCCCCCCCCCCCC